TCAAGCTATTTTCCAAGGCATCCAAAGGCCAGGCAAGGAACAATGGATGGAAACTGAACAAGGAGAGATTCAACCTGGAAATAAGGAGAAATTTTCTGACAGTGAGAGCAATCAACCCATGGAACAGAAGTTGCTCTTAGAAGTTGTGGGAGCATCATCACTTGAGACTTTCAAGAAGAGATTGGGCTCCCATCTGTCAGAAATGGTGTAGGGCCGTGGTGACGAACCTATGGCACACATGCCACAGGTGGCACGCAGAGCCATAGCTCACTGCACATGTGCGTGCCTCACAGCTGATTTTCGGCAGATTTGAGGCCTTTTTCAGCCTCCCAAAGACTTGAGGAAGGCTTCTGCAGGCTTTGCAGGTGAAAAACAAGCCCTGTTTCATTACTTCCTGTTTTTCCAAAAATACCGGAAGTGACTAAACGGGTTTAGTTTTGAACCTGCAAAAGCCTTCCTCAAGCCTTTGGGAGGCCTCAAACCCGCTAAAAATCAGCTGTGAGGTGCAGTGCAGGTAAGGGGGGGTGGGAGTGGGAGATGGGGATTGCAGACGTATGCATAGGGGTGTGGGGGGGGGCGCGCATTGCCTTCTGGGTGCTGGCACACAAGCATGAGTGTGCCAGCACATGCACAATTTTTGGCATAGGAGCCCAAAAGGGTTAGCCACCACTGGTGGAAGGTCTCCTGTTTGGGCGGAGGGGTTGGACTACATGACCTACAAGGTCCCTTCCAACTCTGATTATCTGTTAATACTGATATTAGCCACTCCATCTAGGAATTATGGGTCTTGTAACCCCAACACAAGGAGAACACCAGCTTGGGAGGAGGGACATACCCATTCTAAGGCAGGGGAATCTTTTTCAGTTAATGTAAACACAGTTCGGGTATGGTGTGGGACAAGGAGATAAGGATGAGAAAACGGTCATTTAATGAAACTGGCAAAAAAAGAAAGAAATTCAAGGGCAAATAAAAACACCGAGAACACTTAAGGAGAGCTGTTGAAGGATTCCACCACAGCCTTTTCTTTAAATAGTCTAAGAAATCAAACACAGCTGCTGAGGTAGCAGCACAGGAAAAAGCACCAGCACCGAAAGGAAAATATTCTTGTCCTGGTTAAAGTGAGAAAACGAACGTAGTATCAGCATCCCAATCTTACTGCAACGTATTTCACAACCCCGGTAGGCGTGTACATGACACACAACAAAAGAGATGTATTTATGAAGCAATAAGAGAAAGTACTGTAATAGATATTACTGAATATTACTTATATGTAGGGAAATGTGATTATTATTATTATATTTTTATACTGTTAAGAATAATATTATTAACAATTGTTAAGCACATGAAATATGTACCTAATTGAGACATGATTGAAATGGAATGGTTTTATTGTATGTTAAAAAAAAATTAAAAAATTAATTTAAAAAAAAGAGCGACAGGAATTAACCATTTGAGAAATAAAAACAAGCTGAACTTGCTCTGAAAAAGACTGTCAAGCAAGCACGAAGCACTTTGTGGAAAACAAGCCAGAAGTGAAAAGCACTGTCCCTTTCTAAACATTTACTAGAGGATTAGGAAGCTATGCAGAGGATCAGCTCCACAACAAGGAATCCCCACATTTATATAGGATATAGGCTGTTACTTTTTAACTCGGACTCAAGGAGCGCTCAAAAGCAGACTACTTCCTCTTGTAATTTAATCACACTGTTGCCTGCTTTTCTGGAAGAATGTCTACGGAGATTCTCAGTCATCCAAGATCATGGTTGTCCCAAAGGTGTTTGGGTTTTTTTTCCTTCAAAAGGCAACAAGATTTTGTTTTTCCTTGAAGAAGTTTAGTTCCTCATCCAAGAAGCTTCTTCCGTTCTCCACCATTTCGTCAGAATGGAAGAAGCTTCTTGGACAAGGAGCAAAACGTCTTCAAGGAAAAACGAATTCCAGTTGCCTTTTGAAAAAAAAAAAACCACCTTTGGGACATTCTGGGGTAGCTTTGAACCATTTTGCTCTGCCTTTCGAATGTCAAGTCTTCAGTACAGGCACTCCTCGACTTATAATCACAAGTTGAGGCCAATGTTTTTGTTGCTAAGCGAGACCATTTGTTAAGACGTTTTACGACCTTTCTTGCCACATTTGTTAAGTGAATCAGTGCAGTTCTTAAGTTAGAAACATGGCTGTTGTGTGAATCTGGCTTCCCCACTGACTCTGTTGTCAGAAGGTCAGAAATGATGATCACATGGGCCCCGAACACTGCAATCATCACAAATACAAGTCGGTTGCAAAGCCTCTGCATTTTGATCATGCAACCATGGGGATGCTGCAATGGTTTTAAGTGTGAAAAATGGTCGTAAGACCCTTTTTTTTTAGTACCGTTGTAACTTTGAACGGTTATTAAACGAATTGTTGTAGGTTTTGGACTAGTGGTACTTGAAGACAGCTAAAATCCTCTCATCACTTCTCTGGGCCAAACAAAGCCCCACATCGCCATGTGTTTTTCTTTCCAAGATACTTACCTTCTATGAACAAGTTATTAGTTAATCAGTGGAACAACTTGCCTCTAGAAGTTGTAAATGCTCCAACATTGGAAGTTTTTAAGAAGAGATTGGAGAACCGTTTGTCTGAAATGGTGAGTTTCCTGCCTAAGCAGGGGGTTGGACTAGAAGACCTCCAAGGTCCCTTCCAACTATTCTATTCTATTTTCTATTCTATTCTCGATCCTATTACCTATTCTATTCTATTCTATTCTATTCTATTCTATTCTATTCTATTCT